GAGTCAGGTCAGTGGAAGTTTTTTTTTATTTTATTTTTTTTATAAAGTGCAAGGTCTAGAGACGTGTTTTAGAAGCTGAATTTCTTTGAACTTGAGCGCCGTGTTTTAGAATGATGTATTATGCATGAGAATTATGCGCGAGAAGCTGCTATAAAGACCTGCGAAGAGAGCTCAGCTTTCAAGACGTCGAGTAGCGCATTTACATTGAAATACAATGGAAAAGTACAGCAGTGGAATGAAAAAAATGCGTTTTGAGTGAATGACCCTACTAAAAGCTACTTAGCAAATACAGATGGCAGAGTATTAATTAAAAAAAAAAAATGCATAGCCACCAAATTCGAAAATCTGACATCCAGGAAATAAATATGTCCTAGGCAGCAGTTTTACCACAAATATAGACAAGTGATACCACCACAACCACCAGAAATACTTAATTGTGTCTGCTTTACAATGAAATACAAGCTCATTGCAACCGATTCCCTGGCATAATACATTCATTGCGACCCATTTAACAGATACATCATTTTAAGTTAGAACAACTTGAACAGCAACAAACAATAACAATACAGCAAAATAATTAACTAACTACGATCATCTAGCCCTCTATTAAACATTAAAGAATTATTTTATCATAGCTTACTCAGTAGTGCTGCATTCTTGCACCGCTTGTGCGGGAATTTGTGTCAGAGATGTAACAATTAAAATGCGACTTCGTGAAACGGACTGTCCTAAATTGTTGCTATAGTAGCATCATATTAATGCTAGAAAGCCTATACATTTAGCAACTATATTTTTTAAATAAACCATTATATTTCAGAATTAAAATCTATTTTCACACTCATCTTGGGTGAGGGGGCGGGATAGTCCAGAGTGAGGGGGCGACGCGCCTAAGAATAGGTGTCACTTTCATATGAAACAACTGCTTAGGAACTAATGACTCAAATGTACTCTTAGTCTCTTGTGGCCTTCTCTAAGCTATATTAACATGTGCCTTGACCTTGAGCTACAGCAAGACTTGCTCAGTGCTCCATCAACCTACAGTAGGTCAAAGGTCAAGACTGAGGGGATAAACATATGCACCAACACTGTCAGAAAAAAATGTGCAAAAATTATACCTTTGGGGTAGAGCAGCTTGTTACTGGGGCATAAATTTGTACCTTATCTACCCCAAAAAGATGCTTATTAGTACTTTAGAATAATAATAATATGTACCCTTAAGGTACTACTATGAAACTTTTAGGGATAAATAACATACAAATCATTCATTTGAGAGTACTACCCCAGTGACAAGCAGTCATATCCCTAAAGGTGCAATTTTTGCACATTTTGTCTGAAAGTGAATAAGGCTAAAGGAAATAATAGTGTTCAGTTTTATGTAGCTGAATAGGGGCTAAAAGCTACATGTTTTCTTTGTGACACAAAAGGAAAAGGAACAAATATGCATAGCAGCAGCTTATGAGAATGGAACTGATGGATTTAAGTCCAAGTCTTACCTCCGAACTGTGCGCAGCAGGGTAGATCGTGCCTCATTGTGAAACGTGATCACTATGGTAGTGGATGGCAGGTCGGGGTCATAGTGCAGTGTTGTACACCTGGGAGAGACAGGAGGGAGTCAAAATAATGAGACTCTGTGGTACTAATTAAGCATCAAGTTTAACGTGTGGCAAAACCTTTACTGATTTTACACCTACTTAATAATCAAACGTGTTGGAGGTCAAGTCATCCCTTAGCATATGGCGAACAACAGCAACTGCTGAAATGTGTAAAGCGAGTGTTTTTGAGGTGCTTTAGTATCCAGTGAGCACTTAAGAATAGACAACATAAAACATGGGCCATGGTTAAGAGAGATCTTGCCTGTGTTAACAGCAGTGGTGTATAAAGTACCTGAAAGCCATACTCAAGTAAAAGTACAGATATCTTACCAGAAAATGACTTTGGTAGAAGTTGAAGTCACCGTTTAGAATATTACTTGAGTAAAAGTCTTAAAGTATGTGATATTTATTGTACTTAAGTACGAAAAGTATTTTTAAAATCTTAAACGTACTTAAGTATTGAAAGTAAAAGTACAAGTAAATGCAAAATGGAAAAGAAGCAAATAAATAATATATATAAAATGTCTATACACAGCATGAGTAGCAAGATTTTGTTCAGTTTTAACTCTTTCTTCCATTTTGCATTTTTGGGTAAGAATAAGAAGCACTTCATCTGGTACTTAGTGTCTTTCATTCCAACATAAGAAAACATTTCTACCAGAAAGACTCAGGAGGTGAACATAGAACTCCAAAGTATTTATTTACAATTAATCACATTTGGGGATTCCTCACCCGCATTCATTAATGCTTCAAATCTGTTTTCAAGATGTATAGGGGGTGGTAGAATACCAGTGTTCACAAGCCTTGTCATAGCCATATCTGGGGTAGAGGATGCTACGGCAGCAATACGAGAAACTCGTGACAATCTGATGTCTCGAGTGCCTTTGGGTCTCGCTCCCTGTTTGTGCCATCGATTAGTGTGACAATCAGCAGGCAGAACCCAGAGGAGAGCATAAATAATGGAGGATCTGATTAAAAATAAAAAGCATTTTCGCTTCACCCCAACAGCAGAAGAAGTGGGCCAGTAAAAAGCACTTTGTTTTGAGGATGAACATTCTGACTTGCGGTAAACACCAAACATTACCCTGCAGTGCTCCACCTCAGAAATACCAGAGACTCAAGGTTTTGGTTGTAAAAAGTGTCCGTGGACAAGAATAAACTAAAGATCAAAATGACTTGTGATAAAGTATACATAGTCTTCCCGACTTGAAACATAAACCTATTGTGTAACGACTACTGGAAAGTAGTTATGGGAATAACAGGTTACCCACCGAGACATTTGGCCTTGGTGTATGAGAGTAAAAACAGACAGAGGACAGCCTTTGTAGGGAGATTGTGTTCTAGATTCAGACAGGATGGGGGGCTCCCAATCCATACACACATCTTTTCTTCAACAGTCTTCATTTTCACACAGATAGAGAGAAATACATCTGACCTTTAAGATGGGGTGCAAGATGATCTCTAGATACAGGCCTATTTTAGACATTGTTGTTAAAATTGTCATTCCAGTTATACATTTTTTTTATGAAAGACATTGTTATGATGTAATGTTGTCTAAACGTTTAAATATTTGTGCTATTTAAAAATAAATTTGTACTATTTGTAAATAGCTAAAATATTCTGTTTTCATACTGTAGCTTTATATTTTAATGTTTGTGTTTTATTTACATCACTCAGAATGCTTCATGTGACAAGTAGTTAATCCACCCATAAAAAAGTTCACAATCTATCTAAACACTAAATGTATAATAAAGTATGCTCTGCTAATGCAGTTAGGGTTGGGCGATATCTATTCTCATTTTCCACTAGATATTTTCATCTTCATCTCATCAGCAATTTTTGATTCTGGCACACTCTGCAGCAGCTGACCACTAAAGGCCCGGGTATACTTCACTTTCTGCTTTCCGTTCCGTCTTGCACACAGCCGCATCCGCACAGCTTTCAAAGTATACTCAACCGCGTATGAGCGCGGACAGACGAGCTCGACACATGCGTAGTATCACCTACTTGACTCGCTCTGTCTCTGTCTCTCGCGCCTGCGCTGTTCTACACG